AACCACATACGAGAGGCCGGGGATGTGTGTCACGCGAGTGCGTCCAAGAATGGCACCGCCGGCGCACACCATAAGGACCGCAAGAAGTCAGACGACACCCGATCCCATGAGGTAACTGTCCGATTAAATGGTGCTTAAAGCGTCTGTAGTTTTAGTGTTTGTGATGTAATTCAATGCTATCTATGAATGGCTTTCCCTTATACTGTAGTGTATGTTCAGTATTGTCGATATTTTATTGATTTTATGCACTTTTTAACATAAATAATATTTATTTTTATTATTTTATATAATATATTATACCGTATTCTGTTTTTTATTATAATAACGTTTTTCAGATAACTGTAATACTGTATAATTTATTTTTAATATTATACCGGTACAAAAAAACTTAGACTTTGCGACAAGAATTTCATGAATAATTAAAATACAGAATTTTAGGCATTTTTACGGTTAAGTGAGTAGAGTTACTGGTATACACTGTATACTATACAGTCTATGTCAAAAACATTTGCCCCTCAATCTATCATTACCGTTAATTAATTAATTAGGACTTTAATCATACACGTATGCCCAGGGTGGGGGAGGGGTTAACTTTTACGTACGTTTTTTGCTCTGTTTTATTGTACAAAAGTAGCTAAACTTTTTTAATTTTATGACAATCTATTGATTGAGAATATAGTTTATAGAAATCTGTGTAAACACATGTTATCTGACATGTTATGCAAACTCGATGCATCAAACTCCCTGTCCATCGCATGTAAATGTTGTGAAATTCAGGCGCCGGCTATGGCTTATCAATACGTGTTTGTAATGCGANATCAAACTCCCTGTCCATCGCATGTAAATGTTGTGAAATTCAGGCGCCGGCTATGGCTTATCAATACGTGTTTGTAATGCGATATTTAAATATAGCATACATTTTGTCAGTCAGCGAAATATTAATTTACATTCAGATTCTGTGTTATTAACACTAAATATAATAGACTACAATATATTGCACATTAGTATTGAATTCCCGATTATAGCGTATAAATTACATACATTTTCACTGACGCTTATGTAGTTTTCATTAACACGAGATAAATGACATTTTCTTTCCTTTTAATGTAATATTTGAGTACATCTTAAATGTTATTATAATTAGTCTTTAATGTGTAGTGAATTCATGCTTTACTGTGTATTCAGTTTGACGTGTATTTCCTTTATTTTTGTGTTTTCATATAAACATTGAATTAATTGTTTTGTTTGTGTTTGAATGCATTCACAGCAATACATATCATCGCTGGTGTTGTGGAGACGACCGTTGAATACCATATACTATGCCACACATGAGCTCATCCATCAATTAATTAGTTTAACCAAATGGTGAGTCAGTTTTGGCTGTAGTTTATTGATTGCTATGTGTTTTGCGCGATGTTTGAGACGTCTAAATGTCTCGCAATGCGTCAATAACTAGTTTTTGTATTGAGTTTGTGATGAAAATTAATGAGTTTTTCATTGTATTGTAGGGTTTTATGCCACACGAGGACCTGTTCATCACTTGTCATACTATTTATAGCCATAATCGGTGTCTCGTATATCGATGGACCCCATCAGCACTTCCTAAGAATATTTCAAAATCAGGCGCTTTGGTGCCTGTACTGGTGCGGACTCGGCATACTGTCCAGCGTAGGCCTGGGCACCGGTCTCCACACGTTTCTACTATATTTAGTGAGTGTTTTGTGTCATTAAAACTAATGACAATATTTTAATTCTCGAGATGAAAGCGATTAATGCTGTAATGAATCGCTAGTTATGTGTGAATGTGTGCCAAAAATTTATTGTCTAATTAATTGAGACGTCGTTTGAAAGGGGTTTTGATACATGAGTTTTGGCGCATTTTCTCGATGTTTTAATTATGGGTTTGAGTTTTTGGATTAAAAATAATTTCTCGTATTTTTTGTCTAATGATTATCTATAGGGCCCACATATAGCATCGGTAACATTGGCTGCCTATGAGTGTGATTCGCTTGACTTTCCATCGCCTCCCTATCCGGACGAGTATGTTATTTATAAATCGCTATTTTTAATGCATTTTTTTTGTTTGTTTAACAATTATATAGATTTAAAGTGTTTTGTTAATTGAGTTTCGCTTTTAATATGGTTTTTATTATATTTTAATATCAAGTCTCTCTCTCTCTCTCTCTCTCTCTCTCTCATTAAAATTAAAATTAATTTTTTTGTTTTGTTTGTTTTCAGAATCATATGTCCCGTTCCGACACCAGGTGTTGCACCGATTTTGAGTGCAGTAAGCGTATGGACTATTATGTCGAAAGTACGTCTGGAGGCGTTTATGTGGGGCGCCGGTACAGCACTTGGCGAACTGCCCCCGTATTTCGTGGCCAGAGCTCACCGACTGTCCGGCGAGGACGAGGAGGAACTAGACCAAGACATAGCCGACGAGATCACCGGCTCATCGGGCGCTGTGGTGCCTAATGCTGGGAACCAGAGGTCTATGGCCCAGCGGTTTAGGGCTAATATGATTCATTTGGTAACTAAAGTCGGGTTCTTCGGTATACTCGCGTGCGCTTCCATACCGAACCCTCTGTTTGATTTGGCGGGCATTACCTGTGGCTATAGTCTGGTGCCCTTCTGGACCTTCTTCGGCGCCACCCTTATTGGAAAGGCTGTCATCAAAATGCATATCCAGAAGCTGTTTGTAATCGTGGCCTTCAACGAGAATTATGTCGATCTGTTTGTCGATAAGAGTCGGTGAGTGGTGTTGCCATCGGATGATTGGATTGTTTTTTATGGTTTTTATGACTGATTTGATTGTCTTTTTTTTGACGGATAGGAACATCCCATATGTGGGACAATACCTTCACGAGCCGTTACGCGAGTTCTTAGTGAAACAAAAGGCGAACCTTCATAAGGGATCCGCCAAACACACCATCAAAGTATGTATTGATTCACTCATGAGTTGATTACTATTTGGCTAAATGCCTGTCTGTTTGTGTGTCTGTAGGAGAGCTCATGGCTGTCGACGATCTTTGAATGGGTAGTGATCTCGATGTTAGTCTATTTCGTGGTCTCAATCGTCAACTCAATGGCTCAGAGCTACCAAAAACGCCAATTGAAGGCCCAGTCGGGTCTCGAGAGCGGCGAACACAGTAGTAATCACTTGAAAACGAAATAATTGTGACCAAAGTCTAGGTTTTAAAACTCAATTTAATTTAACGTTCAAAACAAAGCCTCAATTAATTGTAATTAGATATAAAATACTTGAAACCAATTGTCCACAAGATTTAAGTTTTGTTGTATTGATTATGAGTGCAATCAATCACTACATCATTATTTTAGTAGTTTTTCCCAATTTTTTTAACTGCAATATATTTTAATTTTATATTTTTTGTCATAACAGCTATTATTTTGTTATAATTTAAGCATTGAATCAAAAAGTTTGTTGTTTTTCGTTTAGTTTGACATCTATTTTATGTTTGAGTTTAAATTTTTACATCAAAAATATGTTTAAGTTTTCCGGGATTTGATTATTGCTGCCGTAGTTATGCATGTGTTTTGGAAATATTACTGTATATTTGGCACTCATGTTGTGATACAAATGATTCAGTGATTTAATTAATTATTATAATTATAACTATTGATTATAAATATGTAATTTTTGTGTCCATCGAATCGACTCATCAGTTGTTTAGTAATTTTGTTTCTCATTATACAAATCAATGATTAGTTTTTTAATTGGTTTAGTTAGTAAGTCTAGAAATTTGTGTTTTTATACCAAACTTTTTTTTGGTTACTTTTGGTTATGATTATTAATTAGAGAATATTTTCTGTAATTTAATTCCCATTTAATTCCTGTTTTTAAAGAGAATATATATGATTATATTTTTTGGTACATTTTATGTTTTATTTTGTCACAAAATGATTATAAATACTTTTTTTTGAGTTTTCATTTCAATTGTAATTCCTTTCCTTTTTTGATACCAGAATTCGTACCGACTTTTGCATACAATTTATTTATGAAAATAAAAATAAAACTTTAATGGAATTAATTGTTTACAATTTCTTTCAATTCTCTCTCTCTCTCTCTCTCTCTCTCTCTAAAGAGAGTAAAAATGGTAAATGTATTGTATTTTGATGCAAAGGACAGGTAGGTGTATAGTAGACAGGATATGAAGATTATTCTACAAAATATATGCCAGAATATATTAAAAGTTATATAAACTTTATGGAGATTTTGTTTTAAATGATTTATTATTTTCTATCAAATGTTTGATATAACAATTGTGTAAATAAATTATTGCAACACATGTGTTATCTATTAATTCATGGATTTACTCTATTTTTAAATAAAATTATATTTTGATTTTCATCACATAATTAAATTTATTAATGAAAACACAGCTATAAATAAATGTACAATAAGTTCAGGAAATAAATACAACAAACTCTCGTATTTATCGATATGTTTCATAAACAGCACTGTTTTCTATGCAATGAAATGCATTGTCACGGAATATGTGTTGAGAATACTTTCTATTCGCTACTAAATTCAGGTTTTACTAAATATGACTTTTATTTTTATTTACAATATATTCATTTCATACTCATTTGAATTGGTGTTTATAGTGTGCGTACTGTATATTTTAGTACATTATACAAAAAAAGCTCAATCCTGTTAAATTATTTTTGATAATTTCGCACACTAATGAATTTTCGAGAATATTCTGTATTTTTGTTAGTAGTCAATATTTATTATTTGCTTAATTATGTTTTTAGTAAACAGTATGAGTGTACTAATATTGGTTATGATTTGATTAGTTTGCCATTAGTTTCACAGTTTCATATACTTTCATAATTAGCAAACATTAAAAATATCATTTTGCAAGAATTAACTGTAAAAACGAGAGTTTGTTGTATTTATTTCCTGAACTTATTGTACATTTATTTATAGCTGTGTTTTCATTAATAAATTTAATTATGTGATGAAAATCAAAATATAATTTTATTTAAAAATAGAGTAAATCCATGAATTAATAGATAACACATGTGTTGCAATAATTTATTTACACAATTGTTACATCAAACATTTAATAGAAAATAATAAATCATTTAAAACAAAATCTCCATAAAGTTGATATAACTTTTAATATATTCTGGCATTTATTTTGTAGAATAATCTTCATATCCTGTCTACTATACACCTACCTGTCCTTTGCATCAAAATACAATACATTTACCATTTTTACTCTCTTTAGAGAGAGAGAGAGAGAGAGAGAATTGAGAGAAATTATAAACAATTAATTCCATTAAAATGTTTTATTTTTATTTTCATAAATAAATTGTATGCAAAAGTCGGTACGAATTCTGGTATCAAAAAAGGAAAGGAATTACAATTGAAATGAAAACTCAAAAAAGTATTTATCATTTTGTGACAAAATAAAACATAAAATGTACCAAAAAATATATAATTATATATTCTCTTTGAAAACAGGAATTAAATGGGAATTAAATTACAGAAAATATTCTCTAATTAATAATCATAACCAAAAGTAACCAAAAAAAAGTTTGGTATAAAAACACAAATTTCTAGACTTACTAACTAAACCAATTAAAAAACTAATCATTGATTTGTATAATGAGAAACAAAATTACTAAACAATTGATGAGTCGATTCGATGGACACAAAAATTACATATTTATAATCAATAGTTATAATTATTATAATTAATTAAATCACTGAATCATTTGTATCACAACATGAGTGCCAAATATACAGTAATATTTCCAAAACACATGCATAACTACTAGTAATAATCAAATCCCGGGAAACTTAAACATATTTTTGATGTAAAAATTTAAACTCAAACATAAAATAGATGTCAAACTAAACGAAAAACAACAAACTTTTTGATTCAATGCCTAAATTATAACAAAATAATAGCTGTTATGACAAAAAATATAAAATTAAAATATATTGCATTTAAAAAAATTGGGAAAAACTACTAAAATAATGATGTAGTGATTGATTGCACTCATAATCAATACAACAAAACTTAAATCTTGTGGACAATTGGTTTCAAGTATTTTATATCTAATTACAATTAATT